TTGATGCAGATCATCATGAACTGCCAAGGAACCTGATAGTTATTTATATCGTTGAGTGGATGGAAACATGGCATCCTATCAATTGTGTGATGGATCTTCGTCTGCAACAATGGCCCCGTTCGCTTCGCTGAAAAATAAGCAGAAATACTATTCCGGCTGATTTGTTGTGAGAGAAAAACACTATTTCAGCTGGAAAAACTAAGGGCCAGTGACACCACCTTCTCTCCTCCGTGCTACGTCGGTCGGTTCATCGGGGTCTCGGCCATGGCCTTGCGGCGTGTTTCGTGCACGTGTACATGTTGCGGCTGCTCCTCTGCTCTAGCGGGTGGCCGAGCTTACTTATAGAGAAAATTTCTTCATTGCCATTGAAAGCTATAACAATACTTTCGTTGACATTCAAAATTACATGTTCCCTTCGTTGCCATTAGTTTTAGATTTTCCGTTCCTTCGTTGCCACTGCTGTTACAGAGGAGTCACGGCGTGACTTTGCTCCATACCCGACGTCCCGACACCATCCGACTTCGCTCCTCCAACCGCCTCGCAGGGTCGCCCTCCGCGTCCACCTTCTCCGGCGCAGTCTTGCAGCAGCGCCTCCACGACGCCTCCGTCATCGCGCACGAGGACAACGCCACCGCACCGGGCACGACTACTGCGACCGCGCACACGACTCCAAGCCCCAGCGTCTGCTCGTCGACCACACGCGCGAGGCCGCCGCCGTCGACGGTAGCCTGCTGACGCCTGGCGGCATCACCGCTCCATCCAAGATGGTGGCGGTACTCAGGGCGCTGCCTCTGCTCGCCATCCCCTTCCTCCCGCCGCCGGTGGCCGCTCTGGTGGCGCTCTCCTCCCTGGCCAGCCGTGTCAGCGCTTGAAAGGTCCTTGTTGGTTTTGGTAATTGAGTGACAACCTAGGTGGACTAATTGTGTTTATGTGAGATACACAGGTGATTAGTCCACAGGTACATGTGTATGAGCAACATATGCCATGGAGGTGAAAATGGCTTGGAGATGTTGCAAAGCTCACACATGTGATGATGAAGGAGCTTATTGCACATGAGACATGACATTGAGTCATGTGATCAAGGTGGAGAAGATCAAGACAAGACTTGGCTTGATGGACCGGTTGCAAGCGTGAAGGGCAAGTCGAAGGCTTTGGAGTGATGGACCGCGTGGCGGTGAAGCTTGAGCAAGACTTGGCGCCGATGGACGATGGCAACGGTGAAGGGCAAGTGAAGTCAAGATCGATGAACCAATATGATCACGTGATGATATGAAGTGGATCATATCATTGTTGATCGTGTTGGTGCATGTGTTGCATCGACATTGAAGGAGATGGAATGCGCAAGGCAAAGGTATAACCTAGGGCATTTCATTTCACCGGTCATAGGTGTGTAGAGAAGTTTATGACCGGGTTTAGGATAGATGGCCGTACTATCAAGAGGGGCAAACTTGTTTGCATATCGGTCATCTAGTGCCACTCGAGTGATCTAACTTTGCATTGTCGCTAGGATCGAGTGGCGTGGCAAGTCGAGTGGCTAACATCCTTTGGGAAATGATTGTGAAAATGCTAACACACATACACATGGTGGTGTACACTTGGTGGTGTTGGCACATTTACAAAGGAGGTGGTGTTTACAGGGGTGAGATGGGTTTGGGTCCCTCTCTCCCTCCCGCCGAGCTTGCTCGGCGGGATTCGGCGCTTTCGGGAAAATATAATGCCTATTTTCTATTGCGCCGGATGCAAGTTCTTGTGGTTAGCACATTGGAGCAAGGGTGATGAAGTTAGAAGTGAAAACGAGTTGATCGCGAAGACGCTGGCGTCGGTCAACTGACCGGACGCTGGGTCTGAAAGCACCGGACGCTGGCAGGGTGCGTCCGGTCAGGCTGACGTACGATGACACAGAAGCTGGAGTGTGACCGGACGCTGGCTGCGTCCGATCAAGTGTGACCGGACGCGTCCAGTCGAGGTCGGTACCTTACTGGAAACGACCGGACGCTGGGGGTTCAGCGTCCGGTCAGTTGAAAGCTGCTGCGTTCGGTCAAGTCAAGTGACCGTTGGAACCAGGACACGTGGCCGTCTACGGGCGACCAAACGCTGAGGTCCAGCGTCCGGTCAACACGACCGGAGCGTCCGGTCGGCCCGACCGTTGCCCAGTGAAGGGGTAACGGCTAGTTTAGCCCTTGGGGCTATAAATAGAAGTGGCCCTCGGCCATGGCTGGTGTTGAGCACCTCAAGGGACTTAGTGTCCATACTTGTGAGTGCTTGGGAGCCCTCCATCACACACACACTTGATAGCGATCATCCGATTGTGTGAGTGAGCGATTCTAGTGCTATTGCATCGTGAGGTTGCATCGAGTGGCACTAGGTGATCGAGTTGCGAGCCGGTGGTGCTTGTTACTCTTGGAGGTTGCCACCTCCTAGATGGCTTGGTGGTGGTCTCCGTCGAAGCGCGCAAGAAGCTTGTGCGGCGCTCCGGAGAAGTGCTTGTGAGGGGTACTTGTGCTCGCCCCGCGGGAGCCGCGAAGAGCAACTCTAGTAAAGCGTGTCATTGAGCTACCCTCACTCCAGGGGTAGGTTCTTGCGGCGCCCGACGTGCGGGCTTAGCGGGTGATGCTAATTAGCCGCCGAACCACCAAGTGAGCGGTCGACACAACGGGGACTAGCGTGTTGGCAAACACGTGAACCTCGGGAGAAAAATCATCGTGTCAACCTTGTTCTTCCCGTTGGTTTGCATCCCCATTACACAAGCTTGCAATTACTTATATATATATCTTAAGCTTGTGTAGTTGCTCTTGTAATTAGATAGCTTGTGTAGCTAGCTAATTACCTTCTTGCTTGTGTAGCATAGAAGTAGCTCCCTTGCGTGGCTAATTTGGTTTTAGTAACCTTGTTAGTCACATTGCTTAGTTTGTGTAGCTAAGTATTTGCGCTCTCTAATCAGGCGTTGGTTGCCTTGTTATTGAGCATTGCTAGTGAGCTTAGTTAGCTTTGTGCTTTTGCTTACTAGCATGTGTAGGAGCTTCCTTGTTACTTAAAGTACTAGTGACATAGGTTTGTGTGACCTTGCTCCTAGAATTGTTTAGGAGAGCTCTAGCTAGCCCGGCACCTTAGTTGCTTTATTAGTATCTTTGTAAGGTGCTAGTGAACATATATAGAGGGGTGTAGTCTTGGCTAGACCGATTGTTTTAATTCCGCATTTATATCGGTTAGCCGACGCGATTAATTTTAGAAAAGACTATTCACCCCCCTCTAGTCCGCCATCTCGACCCTTAGAGCGCTCGCTTGGACGACTGCTTCAAACTGAATCGTGCCAGCGGTGATGCCGCCAGGCGTCAGCAGGCTACGGTGACGGATCAGCTTTTCTCTCGTACTCCCTGGCTCCCCGTTACAACGGAGAATCAAACCATCCAAAATCTAATAAAAATTATAGAAAAAATTATAAAAATTTAAAAATATAATTATCAAAGAATCTAATAATAATATTTATTTAATATCATAAATGTTAAAGTAGTACGGAGGAAGTACTACTTTAATCAGTAAGATCAGAGCTATTTAATAAAGATCCTCTTTATATCTTTCCACACTTTAACCGTGGAGTTACTTCTATTAAAGGAAAACATATAACAAAATTATAGAAGTAATAAGGTAGGAATAGAGATTTGATTCACCGATGCTCTTAGAGCATTCATATACAATATATAATATAACAAATGAATTATGGTCTGGCTCTGTTCTTCAGCACTACTTTTCAGCGAACAAACAATGTTTTTCTCTGATAACAAATCAGCATAAGCATCAGTATAAGCTAAATTTCAGCGACTTCCTTCGTTCGTTCATTTTTTGGTCTAGAAAAAAAAATAGAAGCCTGCTTTACGGGAAATAAGTGTACATGGTTGGCATTGCAGCGGTGTGTCCGGGTAATTTAGAAAATAAGAAGTTTGATATGTGTTCAAGGAAAAAGAATCAAGTCTTCTTCCGAGATTGTTGGTGAAAAATGTTCTTTCATGAAATAACACTAGGCATCCTTCAAACCAGGATCTCACGCAGCAAATGGAGAAACACAGCACGACTGTATGAAGTGGCGGTGCTTTTCCACCAGCAAGGATAGAAGGACAAACAGAAGAGCGTGTCAAGACAAGTTATTATCAGGCAGTGATATGATGACTCGACATTTGTTTCAGCTTGCACGAGTGGGGGCAGCCATAGGAGTTTTGGATGGCTTGTACGGCTTCTACCCTTCCTCTTCTCTGCTTTTTAAGACATAGAGTTCGTTCTGTTAAAGGTTACTGAACCCTTTACGTTCAGGGGTGGGGGAAGTAACAAAAAAAAATCATGGTCACAATCACATTGCAATACTCTAAACTCTGTATTTTCTTTACCTTACAGTAAGTAGTAAAATTCGGTTTTACCGTTACGGAACAAAGATTCCAATATACGTATCGAGGAAGCGAAGCCCAAGACCAAGCGAAATGACGAGCACTGTGCTCACCTAGTCATCTTCCACACCCAGTCAAACACTCAAACGTGAGCAATGCACGTGTGGTAGGCTGATAGCACCCTGTGCCACAACCCATGCACAACCGCGGAGCCGAAGCACGAAACGGAGTATAACGTCCGTATGGACGTCAAAGGGTCTGTATCCCGTACCCGTATCGGATACTATGTATGTTAGGCCGTACTGACAATTTTGGACACCTGTATCCGACACGTTTGGGCTGATCTTGATCTGGATACGGCCCAACTTCTGGCGCGGTCCCAACTCTGGGCCTCCCGCACAGCCGCACCGCCCAGGCACGCTCGACGACGCACTCCACTTGCGAGCAGCCGCCCCGCCTCTCTCCGCTCCTGCTCTCCACCTCTGCTCCGGTGCTCCCTTCAGTGAACCCCCTCCGGCGAGCTCGCTCCGCTCCAGGTGAGTCCATACGCGATCCCTCCCCCTCCCCCTCCCCCTCGGGCCGATTCTCACTCAGTTTTGGGCGCTCCACCACCGGCGGATTCCCATGGCGCACGGACGATGGTTCGCTGATCCGCTTATCGGATCCCTAATTCCTCTTCAGTTGCGCTTTGTGTCTTTGTTGATTGTGGGTAATCAATCACTTACAACCCGGGATGTAAGGATTTCCTTGATAACCATCATCGTAGTAACACTGACGATACTGATCATCTCTAAGAATCGTATTAGATTGCACGATTCGGCTATCAGAGTTCAAGGTACTACTCGCCCATCCTGGTGTGGCTGGGAGCGCTTCAGGGTAGTTGTCATATATAGTCATATCCGCACTATAACTAAAACCACGGTCAACTGAGTAGACAGCAGCTGGAAGAGAATAGGCTGCTCCATTAAAGCTTCTGGATCTGGATGCTATAGAAAGGGTAGCCTAGAGCCCTAGAACACTTACAACCTTGAACATCGCCATACATAACAAGGTTGTTTCTATGATTTGGGGCATGTTTGGATACATGAGCTAATTGCTAGCTAGCTAAAAATTAGCTCTAGTGCATCCAAACAAGAGAGCTAATAGGTGGGCTAATTTTTTAGCCGTCTCTGACTAGTTGTTAGCCAATTAGCTAGCTAATGATAAATAATCTGGGCTAATTTTTAGCCCAACCAGTAACTAGCTATGTGTATCCAAACATGGCCCTTAGTGTTACATCGAGATCATGAATGCATCACTTTTCTGCTGCTCCTTAGGTCCTCATGTAGGATACTGAGCATCTACTGTGTGGCAACCTTTTTGTATGACTGAATGTTTTCCATCCTTTATCTCTGAAGGTTTCCACGTCTTCCATGGCACTCGTCGTGATGTGTGGGCAGCCATGCAGCGGCAAATCAGCAGCCGCTGCTTGCCTTGCTGCGGCACTGCGCTCCTCCTCACCTGACCTTACTGTCCGTATCATTGATGAGTCATCCCTCCATCTTGGGCGCAACGATAGTTACAAAGGTATTGGTTATTATTACATGTCTTAGTTAGCTAGTTATGGACTTCTGTTTTGACCCTGTGATGAGCTTGTTTCTTTCTCGTTGTTTTGGTTGTTCCCTTCTTAGATATGGTGGTGGAGAAAAACTTGAGAGGAGTTCTTAGATCAGAAGTTGACAGGTCTGTGTCACGCGACAGCATAATTATCGTCGACTCTTTGAATAATATTAAGGTGAGGTAGTATCGAGTTCTTCATCCTATTTTTTTTTTCAAACTTGCACTGAGTGATGGTTCTCGATCAATAATAGAATGCTGCTCTTTTTTCTGTCAGTCTTATCTTTTAGTTTACTCCTTATCGCTGTGGTGATCGGGGTTCCAGAAGACATAAAAGTTTCCCAGACCTTTGCATTGAGTGACGGTTCTCGATCAATAATAGGATGCTGCTCTTTTTCTGTCAGTCTATCTTTTAGTTTTACTCCTCATCACTGTGATGATCGGGGGTTCCAGAAGACATAAAAGTTTCCCAGACCTTTGAAGTGTTGCTTCTTCCTATCTTTATTGACTGGCTTTCATTGAATCAGTGATTTGACACTCATAGTTGCAACTGTGTGCTGCTCTTGTTATTGCTACATCGGTACTGTTCTGTATAAACTCTCACGTTAGTTGTGATACAAAATAGATTCTGCAATTTGCCTTACATCATTTTACAGTTACGATGCCTCAAATGCATTATGGTCTTGCAATATTATTGCGTACCTGTGTCTTTGTCTTGGATACAATTAATTGACTTTCACTTGATAATATGCAGGGGTACCGGTATGAGTTGTGGTGTCTTGCGCGTGCATCTGGAGTAAGATATTGTGTGGTAGGCACTTGCTCTCTTGTTTATGTACTATGTACTTAGAATGATGGCTTTCCTAGCATAATACAAACAAACTGGAGTTGTAGACGACATTACGTGTTCTGAAAGTATGGATTTAATTAACATCGCGAATCAGATGGTAATATTGTTTGCATGATGAGCTACCTTTTTAGGCTATTCTTGGTATTTATCAAAGGATTAACTAAGTAAACTTACAAGATAGAGCCTCACCTAAACAAAGTTACAAAAGTTCTTTTAATTCAACAAGTAGGACAAATTGGAACTCATGACTATGTCCTGCATGATCCTTTTGTCAAGAGCACCTATAGGAAATAATGGAAACTTTATTTTGCTTTGAACAGTTCAGAACAGTAAATCATCCATTAGAAAGTGATTTCTTTTATACTTCCTCTTTTATGTTTCAGCTTTTTTGTGATACAGAAGTGGACCATTGTAGGGAATGGAACAGCAACCGCCAGGAGAAAGGAGAACCAGCATATGATAGTAATATGTAAGTCAGATCTAATCTGTATGGAGCTCATTGACCTGAAACACTAATGGGGTCAGATGTTGGCACTCTTATTTTAAACAAACTTGTATTTCATAGGTTATAAATCTTTAGTAGTTCAGTTACTGTATTGAATTTTGGGGTTGTCGGAATAATAACACAACTGTGCTTTTCTATTCAAGCACTGCTCTGTCAACTATCAGTTACAATTGCCCTCTCATTGGCTTTTTCTTCAATGATGATAGATTTGAAGATCTTGTAAGGAGATTTGAGAAGCCAGATAGGCGTAATCGTTGGGATTCCCCTCTTTTTGAATTGTTTCCATCTAGAGGTAAACAGACTTGCTTCTTTTGTTATTATTATTTGTAATTTCTTCACATGATCTTGTATGAGTTATCCCCATTGTCTACTGTTAATTTCTCATAAATCCTTTTCTAGATTTGCATATGTCCTCAAATTTTATAGCCGCTTCACTGCCCTGTTTTTGAGTCTTTAACTATGCGATTGTTTGTTTCCTTCATAACATGTTTCTTGACTGTTCCTATTTTAATGTGTTCTAAAGTTGGTTCAGAGCATCATATGAGTTCCATTATAACATAACCATTACTACTTATGTTAGTAGTGATGAAAGACACTATAGTCTTCAGGACTAGCAAATAGCAAACATGTATGGCCATACCAATTGTTTTTAATTTTTTTAGTTATTTTAAGATATGCTGTTTGAACTCAGTATTCATGACTTGTGATGGAGACTGATAAGGTAGACAGTCATGTGTATTGTGGTTGGAATCTGACTAGCAGTAGAGACAATTATTGGTTTCTTGTTATCTTTGTTCTTTCTGTGCATTTTGATTGACTGGCTAAGTGCACAAGGTAACTTATCAGGTGACGTTTGGATTGTGTGAAATGGATGCTGGTGAATTGAGGGATTGGGAAGAGAATGAGGTCTTAGAACAGGCATGGACGATCCCCATGTGTTAGGATGAGGATGTTTTCCCTTCTTGCCATTGTTTCATGGTCATTGAAGTTTTGTGAGCCCCATAACTAATTACTATTGATGGGACTGGTACTCTCTACTAGTGACCCAGTGCCTTTGCCATCCTTGACCACTGGTACCCCTTTTGCCCTCATCCAGATCAGAGCCCCTTTGGAATCGTCCTTGAGCCTGATCCCATGGCTGCTCTCAAGCCAGTGGCCATGGTTGTCCTGCTGTCCCATTGAGGCATTTGCTGTACCTTTGCAAGTGATTGGCTTAATTGCTATTGGCCTTGCTGTTTATTCGTTCTGTGGGGTCTTTATCTAAAAATAGGATGGGTGCTTACCTGCAATTTCGGTCATGGAAACTTAGCCATTGTCCCAAGGCCAAATTTTCGCAAACGTGGCAAGGGTACCAAAATCTTATATTCGAGTATTTTGACCTACCTCATCTTCCATCTCTTCCAATCTTATCAAATGCGTTATCCCAATCCTACCTTAGGAAAAGCTACCACCCCTGCAGATTTGAACTATATATATGTGTTCTGGCTTTCAAAACTATATGACTCCATTACAGGCGAAACAAAACAGGAAGAAAATTGTGTGGATCCATTTTGTTGTTGAGGAGGATTATGATTAGCTGTATACTGTTTTTTAAAATTGTGGTGTTTGGTTAGCCTTGTTTCTAAATTATGTTGCAAAAGATGGTTGATTGGTTGTTGCATCCCAATTAAGATAAATAATGATAGTCGTATGTCTGAAGGTACATTCGTGAGAAAAAAATTAAAGGGTCAACAATTGTGCTAGATATTCTTTTAAACAGTAAGCTGATCTGCCTAACAGAGTGTTGGACTTTTGATAACTGCTTCTGTGCAGCAGCGTTAGAATATGTTCAGCACACGACAATGCATCACCGCATATTGCCTGCATTGGGTTTGGCAAATAATTTGATCTGAATAATCTGTTTTCTCCAATGTTTTTAATTAATAGATGAAATAGTGGAAACGGCTCCTCTTATTGCTGAGGCTGTGTCATATTTGACAAAGAAAGTGGATTCCAAAACAAGAGACGTAAAAGTACTCCAGCCTACAATAGCCACTCAGACGGTAAGTATAAATTGTTGTTGGAAAATTGAAGTTGAAATAAATAACAAGATTATTGCAGCTGCCATATGAAAAACGGAATAATACAAGAAAGAAAAAACTGGCAGCTGCTCAAGAATATAGAATGCTTTCCAAATTGACTTATGTGTGTTCTAGAAGGCAGTTATAATTATCTTCCTGAATCTTTGGTATCTATTCTAGGGTTGTAATGATGTCTTGATATTTCAGGTGCGAACAACAGAGGCTAATTCCCTCTATGAGATGGACAAAGCGACACAGGTAATGCTAGTTGTTTTAGTTTGTAGCTGTCTTTGGAAATGTGTGGTTCTATAAATCTACAAGCCTTGGTAACGAGCTGCACTTTGCAGGAGGTGGTCAATGCAATTGTTGAAGCACAATCATGCGGTCTTGGGCTTGCTGTGAATAAGATCTCTATTGGACCTAACTTGCCAACTATATCCTTTATCCGTGGAAAAAGTATTGTTATAGTTTTTTCTATTATGTGAATTTACAGTTTTACACAAATGCAATCTCGGTGAGTCAATTTTTTTTTGAATTTTGATATATAACTTTGTTATTTGTTCTCCACATGGTTAATCTATAATTAGTTCCACAACTTTATAAGGGCGTACCAGTGCAGAGAGCTCTCGCTCTGTGCGGTGTCTAGGAAAGGTGTCAGTGGCAAGTCTTACCCTCGCCTGTGCAATGCGAGGAGAGCCCGCCCTTCAGTTCCACAACTTTATAGATGTATAAATTATAAAACTTGAAGGATTTGCCTCTTCTGCCTTATCTACATGCACAGTATGCTGGTTCATCTGATGCAGTTGGGATTCTTAACTGATTGCCACATCAACCTTCAGAGATCTGTTGGCCTGCCTGAGCTCCGAAGCCTGCGACGGACTTTCATCAAGCTGGCAGGGCAGTACAGTCTGAGTGGGCCACCACCACCGACAGATGCTGATAGCGCAAAGAGGATGTTTGTCGACTACTTAAACCGTGAAGTTGGTGCATGATAGTTTTCCTTGGCTGTGTTGCATGAACGTTATGTAGCCTGTAATTAACTTGAGGACAAATATTGAAGAAGACAACTTGATTATATACTTCTTCCGTTGTTTTGTGGAAGTGGAACACCTATATTGACCAACCTATTTTTTCCATCTCATAATAAACTGGCATGCAGGAAAATAACAGTTAGCCGGTGAATGCTCACTATCCTCGCCATGATTTTCATATTCGGGCTCCTACCTTACGTCTGGATGGACGAGCAGGAGGATATGGTGGTTTGCGGGGAGCATTTATGCTCATATTTTACTGAAAATGTGCAGAGCAAATAGATAGATTTAAATACCAAAAGTTTGGTTAAAGTGAGACAGAATGATGAGCACAACTGCCCACCTTCGCGTTAATGATAGGGTATGCCTCTCAGCTAGTGCTTGAGCCACCTTCCTCAAAATGTCTACGACCTGGCATTTGCCGAGGTCCTCATCCAGCCGAAATATGAGTACTTTATTATGTCAATTCTTGGCACTATCCTGGCTAATAGTGATATTACTGGACAAATGCAACATCATTAATGTCCTAAAAGTAGGCAATCTGTTACTGTGTTACAGCTGGTCAGAGCAATCCTGTTTCGGTAATGCTCCCGTGAGACATCCGGACGGACCGACGTGGCTTCCTACTCGCAACTGCGCCGTTCGCTCGTTCCCGTCCGCACCGCTTAAAAAATAAATCTGTACCCATACGCCATACCCAGGGGTGCTCTTGCTTGCCGGCCAGGGGGTACTCTTGCTTGCCAACCAAGGGATGCTTGCCAGCAGCTGGCGCAACAGGTGGTGCTCGTGCTCGCCAGCCAGCGGTGCTCACCAGCTGCTGGCCTGCTCGCCGAGTAGGCCGCCGTGCTCCACAGGTGCTCCTCGTGTAGGTTCTTGCCCAGTGCTGCTCTCGTGGCCTCGTGTAGGTGCTCGCCCAGCGCGGTGCCTCCGCTGGGGCAATGGCAATGCTGCCTTCGCTGTCGCACCCGCCGCGACCTATGCGCCGGCATCGAGCTCCGCAATGACGAGCCTCCATTTCTCCACGTTGCAAAGTGATATTGCGCTGAAAGCGCATATTGCAAGCGTATGTTTTTTTGTGTTTCAGATGTTTCATCTGGACGTTGCTTGTGTTTCATCTAGATATTGCAAAAGTAGATCGAGATGTTGCACATGTTGCAATGGCTATACATGTATGTTGCAAGTGTATGTTCCAAATGTTTCATCTATTTTTTCAAACATAGGTTGCAAGTGCGTTTGTTTGGATGCTACACATGTTTCACACATATATTGCAAAGTGTTTTATCTGGATGTTGCATATGTTTTGCAATGGCTTTTTAGTGTTTTTGCAAGTGTTTGAGACGCATGTTTCAAGTGTTTCATCTGTCTACACGCGTATGTTGCAAGTTTTTCAACTGGATGTTTTAAAAGTAGATTGGATGTTGCACATATTGCAATGGTGCGCCTATGGTTGGCGGACAACGGCCTCCCATAGGGCTTTGGCTCCTACCTCGCGCGGCGTGCCTTTTCCTCTCTTCTCCCCTCCCTCCCTTCCCTTCCCTTCCCTCCATCTCACCTCGTCATTAGTGTTGGCGTTGGGGTGGGAGTCATCGAGGGTGCTGCGTTCAGCAGCCACTGTCATGGGACGGAATGCGGGGCGCAGGGGCATGGGAGGTGATGCGGGAGCAGCGTCCGTGCAGGCGGACATTCGGGCGCTAGCCCTTCTGATCCTGTTTAGGTCTTGTTTGGATGCCTATGTATCCATCTCAATCCATGTGTGTTGGAGTAGGTTGGGGTGGTCTCGACATGACAACACAGAGACAAAGACATGATCTTTGAATAGGAAAAGAATGGATCCGAAGGTCCCAAATCATTTGGCTTATTCAAAAAAGCATTCTTCTTTGAAAGATATATCTCATGTCTGGCTTGTTCCACTCTACAAGAAGTCCGAATCAGTCTCTTGCACCTCCCCTTTTTTATGATAAATATACTAGAAATAATTCAAATAAATAGCAGCCTCTGACCACTTATCCTCTTTATCTGCTTGGACCCGTTCCAACACCTATAGGAAAATCCCCAGTCATATTGAGTAACTTTCGTAGCCCAAAACCTTAAGCAGGAGCTCATAACTACTACGAATGGAAAGTTCCAGCAATTGAAGCTTAAAAGAACAGAAGAAGATAGAGAGGTACAAATTGATGGATCCAAACCTTATGCTGATTCTAGTGATGATGACTAAATTCCATCCCAGTCCACTCTAACACACATAGATTGAGGTGGATATATGGACATCCAAACAAGACCTTAATCATGTCAAATCCAAGAACAAACTTATTAGAAGTTAACAACCAGCACAATGCTTATATTGATCTAAAATAACATAAATATAAGCCACAATAGCATAATAAGATTATCATCTAGCCTTATTCCGCGTGTATCCATTCCACGGGGATAAGTGGTAATTAAGCTCAACTTCTCATGAGTTGAGTAAACTAGTATACCATGAAGTACCTTATACAGGAATAAACCGATAACATAATGTCAGATATCTCATCTTTCAGACATAGCTAGAGTAGGTTTCGAGTTTAGACCATTTTACACTACATGTGCATGTGATGCCTCATAAAAAAGGTTTGGTCACGTAAAAAATAAAAAGGAAAAAGTTATTAGGCATACTTTTTTACTTACTATGTTGCCAAAATTCACAAACACTGAGTAAAAAAAAACAATAACAAATACAACCTTCGTGTTTTGTGCTTGTAGCAAACTCTTAGCCACCTACTCGAACAACTAGCCAAGTCCTCACCATAATACCAACCAATTCAATCCAGCTGTCAACCCCTCATGCAACTCTCCCTCATCTATAAGCGCAACTTAAACTCTCTCACACCCTCAAACATAATGGTGAACACAGTAAAAAGAATGAAGAGCCTATCAAATTGTCCCCTAGTTATATATCCCGTCTCTCAACGTGACATCAAGGCTCTCGAGCACACCCGCTTCCCGTCTCACCCTTGTTGCTTGCCTCCTCATTGACTTGTTGAGCTTTTGCCTCGCTATCCTTGCACCAACAACAGAAGTCACCTATGCATAGATCTATGTAGTATTTCTGAAGCCAAATTAACAAAGATTTTTATGTGCAACAGGCGATAAATATTTATACTAACGCATTTTTGGACCATTTGTTTGTATGTGGAGATCTAAGTTCCATTTCTAAAGCCAAATCGACAAAGATTTATTTAGACATTAGGCATTCTTACAATTCTTGACACAGAAAGAAAATACAACCTAGTACATACCATTGTGTCAATGACAAATATATAATATAATATATACAATACATACGACAAAACTTCGTTTGGCCCGAATCCAAAATTAACTAATTAGGGGATAAAATGGATAAGTGGCTTCATCATTGATTCTTACACAGTAGTATATAGGCACAAAAATTATCAATGACTGTGGGCCAGCGCTATTGTAGGCATTGGTTGCAGGACTACATGATGAAGTTGTGCATTGAATATTGTTTAAACTCATATTATCTTTGACAAGTGGCCTCTTTGTACAAATGGAAATGAGTGAGATGTGAGGTCCTTGACTTATGCCATTGGACACTTATATAGGCAATGGCTATTTACAAGTGTTCTCTTGTGGGATCAGATTGGATTTCACATGACACTACTATAGCTACTAGTTGAGCCTCTTCTAGGGGGAGACTTGGCCTATATACATCATGGTCTCCTCCAACATTCGCCCCCTGCAAACACTTGAGCAAGAGGGCCTTCGCCAACACTTCAGGGACTACAACGACTCACCCACGCCAACACTTTTACACGAGGGGCCTCAACATCATCATCGATGACCCATGAACTTGAGAGAGTGTGTGGCTCCCTCTTTTATTTGGTTGTGTGCTTCTTGTCAAGCACAGGCCGAAAGAATTATTTTGAAGACTTTGTATCAACTCGATGTAATGTGCTTGAAAATTTAATATAATCTTCCTTTATAAAAAAAACTAATCCTGCATCATGACCATCTTCCAGTAGAAACTGCAGGCACCGGAGCCTAGGAGCTCTGCCAGACCTGCTAAGGTCCTCACTACACCACAGCCTCGTAACAACGTACCGTCAGACCATAGGTTGCCTGCCGCTCTGATTCAGCACCCAACTGCTTCGGCCCAAGGCCCAACGAGCTCTCCCTAGTGTTACTGTTCATGAGAGCTGATTTCCTCTCTTCCCTCTCCCTAGTGTTACTGTTCATGAGAGCTGATTTCCTCTCTCTTCCCTCTCCCTAGTGTTACTGTTCATGAGAGCTGATTTCTCTCTCTCCTCTCCCTCTACCTCTCAGATAGCGTGCTGGAGCCGGAGAAGCCAAATTTTTGGCTCCAGCAGCTCCTTTGTGTCGGTGAGAGAGAGGAAAAAGAGAGAAAAACAGATTCCATACATAGTATGAATGAAAACTGGCGGTGCAGAGGATCCGGAGCCGGAGGAATCCCTCCCAAAGAGGCCCTAAATCATTTTGCGACAGCTCTTGCATTAAGAGTTTTGCTTTTCTTTTTTCTTTTTGCGAGGAAGTAAATAGTTTTTCCCGTAAAAATAAAAATCATAAACTATTTATTGCATTGAAAAGCCATGGATAATGTGGTTTTGATGACTTGACGCAACATTTCAGCAAGAGAGAAAAAAAATGAAGAGACAATCAAAATTTTGAGAGACTCATTTTAGAGAAGGTGCTCTAGTCTAGCAATTCGCCCTCAAGTAAGCAGTAAACTGTAAACCACACTAAGTTATCAGTGACGAAAAGAAAGAATGGAGCAGATGAGGTAAGCAATATTTTTTTCCAAAAAAAGGAGAGGTAAACAATAAATTATGAAGTGCAAATTGAGTAACTGAACCCTGTAAACCAAAAATACCGCACAGATAAACTCCTGATATGACAGTGGTCTGCCACACAAATGAAATGTATGGCAAGTAACGACAAACCAAATA